CAATTCGAAGTCGATAGCTCCAGTTTTGCGGCCAGGAGATTATTTACAACAAACATTACACAGACGGTCATATGGGTTGCCTTGAATCGATTTAGATTTTGATGTTGATCAAGAATATATATACTTTGTGGGACCTCTGATGCTTCCTTCTTGGTTTTGCAAACGATTAGAAAAAATGGATGTATCTCTCACCCTTCGATGATAGATATAAAAATGATTTGTAAAGATTTGATTCCATTAAACTGAGTGCATTGGTGAGTTTCTTGCATAAGACCATCTACAATGGCTTATGGCTTATGGTGTAGCTTACTGTAGCAAACGAGTTTTGTGTAAAAAGTATCTGAAGTGAGTGTTGTTTCCAACGCAAACAATCACTCAACCAATTGATTCAATCGTCCATTCATTTTCTTTTTGTCTTCATTCATTGTTTCGTTATCTAACTTTTCTTTTTTGTTTTTAACTGAGCCAAATCAATTTTGGCTCAAAATTGTAAAGTAAAATACGGTAACAATCAAAGAGCATTCATGCAGACAAGTGTAATGAATTCGATGCTTGTTCGAACATATTAGGTAAGTTTCCAGCCGATATACGTAGAATTTTTTTCATAAGTTGTTTCAAACCTTTTTTATTACTAAACGAGTCCTCTATTTTGGTCGAAAAGTGAACTTTTTCATTCAAATCCCAATTTTCATTCATTCAACCGATATTCAAGAACGGTGACCCCACCAATGTAAACTAAAGGCCAATTGCAGTTTGTTCCGCTTTAGCCAGGATCACGAAGACCATTGTCAACTATCATCCAGATTCCAACGATATAGCTTACGATAGACAATCAGACTACTGGTGACCTAATATCCTACTTTACCGAAAAGTGGAAGCGGGCTATTCGCCAAAATGGCGAAACTAAGTGCGTTGCGCTAGACATTTCCAAAGCATTCGACAATGTATGGGATGATACTCTGGTCTCCAAGCTGGTTAAATTTTCGCTCGAGTCATGTCGAGCTTCTTGTTTCGACAAGGGTTGTAACCGACGGATACAGCTCAATGCGATTCTACTTAAATGCAGGTGTACCACCAGTCTCTCTGTTCTTTCTCCTTCTGCCTTCCTGGCATTCATTAATGACCGCCTGTGCGCAATAGAAAACCCTAACTGCTCGCAGCGTCACCCATTTTTCTTTAGTGGAGAAACGAGATACAGACGAAACGCTACACTAAACGGGCCCCTCATAAAAGAGCTTAATGAGGTCAGGCTAATAGAATAAGCTTTAACGCTACTAAAACTCCAAGCTGTCTTCTAACGCACAGGAAATGTGGTGAAACTTTTTTTAGTGTTGTCAACGTAAAAGAATCAGCAACCCTCCGAAAGACGCAGGCAAGAACTAAGGTCTTTTAAAACGAGGCGAAAAATACATCACTGCTGCCGATATCCTTACTATTTACACCGCGCATATCCGGCCAAAATTAAATCAAACCGGAGCGAGCACATCCAAACTCTTAGGTGACGAAAGCGTCAGCAGAATGTGGGCTGTGTTGTGCTTATGTATAGATATATCGAGGGTGAATATTCTACAGAGATAAAAGAGATTAGTGCACCAACTAAGTTCTCCACAAGGACCACAAATTTTCTCAACGTTCACTTCCCCTCGTCGTGGAGTTACCTGCATACCAAACAACGCACTGCCGCGAATCGTCGTGTTTTAACGGTCACGGTCGTCCACCTTAGCAATAACCTACCAGCAGAGGTCTTTCCCATCCTACCTTATTTCGCCATTTTCAAATGGAACGTTCACAAGACCTATCTCTTTATCCCCTTCCTTGTCCTCTTGTAATTCTCCTTGACCACCACCGTGCCCGCGCGTATAGAGAGCATGCCCTGAGTAGCTGGTCATAGAAAAAAAAAGTGCACGCCAGTCGCACAAACATTGGTATTTTTAAAATCCCCTTCGTAGCCCACTAAATGTACAAACGTATATCAAATTTTTTTTTTTTTTTCAGTTCAAACTTGGGTCATTTACACTTGTCGCACTTTGATTGATAGTGCTTCGAAAAAATGCCTCCGGTGTTGCCACTTTTTGATATTTTTCACAAATAGCTCCTTTTAATATTTAAAGAGACGCCTAGTAACCTGCACAAAATTATTATTTTGCTTTATTTTCTTCCGATCAAGCAAGCTTGTCAGAAAAGTCTTTTACTGACTGCAGTGGACTTAAGTCAGAAAACAAGTGAAATTGTTTCCTGCGCTTGCTTACATATACATACAAATATTGATCATTTTCCTCCCTTTTCAAAAGATGACTTCAATATTGCCGAACTTAATGTCTAGATCATTAATTTGGATCCTACATCTCTAAATTTAATCAATACTATCTACCTATCGATCTGTGAACGAAATTAAGAGATGAGAGAAACTCGTACCAAATTTCTTCTTCAGTTAAATTGTGTTAAGTTCGAACGCAAATAAATTATTTCCATGATTCGGTCCCCAATAATAATCTCAATATTGCAGAGCAAAGATTTTCGTAGTAAAATCTTCGTAGTAAAATCTTCATAATGCTCCTGCGATGCTCTTAGCATAGTTGTTAAGAAGAGTTATATAAGAAAAGGGGGAAGTTTTGGAGGTGACTTGCAAAGACTGCCCTCGAATCTTCTTCAATGAGAAAGAAGTTCTGTTTGCTCACCGTAAAGTTACGTTTGCGATTACCTCACTCATGTTCAAAAAATAGGGGAAATTTAATGCCATTTTTTTTTTGGATATACTTTGATAAATCTAGGTTATTAAAATCGTATAAAAACTTCTTGTGATCTATTTCGTTATATATAAATTAGAGAATCTTTTGTAATTGTTGGAACTTTGTTGGGAAATTTTCAAAATAAATGAATTCATTGAATATTTAAACAGTTAACATTAATGTTTGGATCACACAAAAATTTTGAAATAAAAATTCCCCCTTTTTTTTGGACACAATGGTATATGCGATATATATATGTATATAGAATGAGAAAATTTTCGCCCCGTTTTGCTATCAAATATTACACACAAACTAATAATGGATGGTCACATCGACCTTACAGCCGAATATGCTCGATAAGTTCGGCCCAAGCCGAACATAATTGCTTTTCTGCTAAATTGTATTATTTCCTCCTTATAAACTATGAGGTGCGTTAATAAATTCTCTGTCTTGAAATTCCTTCCAAAATATTGACTATCCATAGTTTATGCATTAGCGCTCCTACTGTATAAATTTGAATTGTTTGCAAAAATTTTGATCAGCGGCCTCAACCACAGGCTACAGGTAAAAATGAAATACCAGTGTACATAACGGTTGATTGCGATGGCTTTAATATTCCTCTATACCAGATAACAGTTTTCCGTTGAATATCATTGATTTATTCAGCGTACGCCGATGCTCGTTGTTGAACTCTCAAAATTCTTCTTCCTCAAAATTCATTGCTTTTGTTGTTTATTTAAAGAAATCTGCTGCCGAAGCCCGTCATATCCCAATTTTCGGTTTTGGATTCAACTTGGACTTAAAAGTGGCAAAGTGACCGCAAACGCCATTTCTTGGCTACTTGTTACAAGAGTTGTCCAGGATGGGTTACGTTAGGGTGAAAATGCCGTAGTGTGAAAGCGGTTTACAAGATTTACTATAAAAAATTTTAATCCTGAGGATGAAGCGTGCTCGTATATGTTCGCGCGTCCGTCCTCAGCGAAGAGAACCCAGAAAACGATCTTCAACTCGGAGTGGGTGTCCCTCTCGATTGTAAGTTGGTGCCCAGACTTGTCTGCTTCTGATTACCACTTGAGCAAATGGATGAAATCATACTTAGCCGATCATCGATTCGTAACAATCGAAGATGTACGAAGATCGCATCGATCGATGACTATTTCACCTAACTACCCGACAAGGAGTAAAAGTCTATAGCTAAGGATTCTGAATATTTCGCTTATTAAACTTTATAACAATTGTATATGAAATAAAGTAGAATTTTAATTAAAAAAAACGAAGAGAGCTTATTGGCACACCTATTATTCGCTTCCTGCCAACAGTTATTATTATTTTTAACAATTTTCACAGGCGAAAAATTGGCCGAAATACTTTGCTTTCATAGCTTCAGTGTGCGCCATTTATTGCTTGGTTCGTTGGTCTTACTTAATTATAGAGTTCATATAAAATTATATTTTTCTTCTTTGTTTTTTTTTTTTGCAGTTATGGTAACGAAAGCAGTATACGATATACGCTCAATTCTGCACAGGGGAGATGCCCCCTAATGCTAATAGAAATGAAAATAAATGAATTTATTAATTAATTTGGAAAAATTCTTTGAAATTGAAATTTTGTGCTTAGCTAAGAGTTGAATAATTACCCCCCAATGTTGTTGCAGCTGGATTGCCGCGTGTGCTCAACTAATAGAAATACTGTACTGGACCTTGTACCATTAATTTACAACAATAATATTTCATTAGTTTTTTACTTAGTTAGTTAGTTGGATGCTGACTGCCAGCTAAAGGAAATTATTAGTTTTTCTTTTATGCTTTCTAACTAAATGCATGTACATAACAAAAAACGAACGCGTAGAGTATACTGAAAATATAATTGATTGACGGTCAACTTGTATTTATTGCTCTACATGCAGCATATATAGTAAATGAGTTGCTTTCAATTATTACGGTAGATTAAAAACAAATGAATTTTTAATGAAATAAACATTTATGAATAAACACTTGATTGTTTATTAATTTGCATGCATGTATACGAAATTTATGTGGGTGTGGAGGATAATAGTGCCAATAACAAGCCTTAGCTAGTCATGTATCTATATTAAAGTACTATAGCTATACGCCTACGTAGGTTTGACATTTCACTTTCAAGGTTTTTTTTCTTTTTGCTTATGCTTTGCTAAAAATAAAATTGCATTTTTTTTTTGCGTTGAGATTTTTGGAATAAATGGGAAAATAATAGGAAAAAAAAAAATATATATATATATATATATGTACTCACCACCACCATTTTGTTGGCACAAATAGGGAAAACGCCATATGTTACCAAGACCTACTGAATAACCGATAATACTGAGGAAAAATTGCATTTTGCCTGACCATGCTGCGCGTTCCGGATCGCCGGGTATCTCAACGGAACTAACTGAATTACGTTGCGGTGCCGTTAATACAATTGTAACTCCATGAGTACCATCGCCGCGGGCACGTGTATTTAATGGCGCCATTTCGTGGCCATTGCGCGGCGCATCAATAATTTTCGTAGCAGCCATCAACAATTGACAAAACACAAGTAAAGAAAATTAAATAGAAAATGTACGTCCGCCGGATATATAGTTGCAATCACAACAATGTTTATTGTTTAATCAGCTTTCTTTCTATTTATTTCACTTTCTTTTACTTTTTCTTTTTTCTTTTATTATTATTATTATTTTTTTTTTTTTTTTTTGTTCTCTTCTTTTCCGTTTATACAGTTTTTAATTTAAATGTTTATCTCTATAGCTATAGGATAAAATGAAAACAGCCGGCAGATATAGGCTAAAATTACAAATAAACAAACACTAAAGACTGTTGTATGTAATCTATGAGCACACATTCAATTACTATATACATAAGAGTGTAAGCATTTGCAAACGTATGCTCATAGATTACACGTGTTGTTCAATTATAAAGCATAAGTTCAAAAGTTTTTCTTTTCTTCCGTTTTTTCGCCTTAAGACGATTCTTAGATACTTATCATCACAATAACGATTTTTATAAGATAATATTATATATTAATTATAATCTGATTAAATTGGCAGATTGCAATCACTTTAGTCCTTGTAGCACATTGGAGATTGATATCTGCCTGCATTGATCACTACACATAGGTTTTGAATTTATAACAATTTAGTTTCTTTTCCATAATAATACCCTGCAACGCTTGTGGTGTATTATATGAAGTAAACTTGAGGTCGAATTATTATTTATTAAACCATTCGACTTCGAAACACTATCCGAATTGCTTTCTGGATCGATCTAAGTTTGCCTATCTATCCGTCCGTCTTATATTCTTGGATTCAATCTGTATGTTATAAACCCTTAACGTTCCCTAGCTTCGGCGAAATGTGGGCTATGCTGCGATTACACATAGATTCCACTACAGCAAGTATTCTGCTAAGACAAAAGAGATTTATCGACCCCTAAAGTCTTTTAACAGTTGGTTTTCTTCCGCCACTCATCGTATACTTGCCTAACTATCTTGTCTATCTTGGATAATCTAATCGATCCAAGCTCGTCTGCCTATCTGTCCATCTCATATTTTTGGATTCAACTTGCAGGTTACAAAGCCTTAACGTTCCTGAGCATCCTAACCTAGGTTTTGCTGTGCTGACCACAACAAGTGTTCTGCTAAGAAAAAAGAGATGTATCCACCACTCAGGTCCTTTAACACTATGTACTTGGTTTTATTCAGCCACTTATCGTAGAGCTGCCTAACAAGCTTGTTGTCGTTTTACTTTGTCTACGTTGCTCGCCTTTAGCATAATCTACCTGCAGTTCTCTTTCGGGGTATGTCAGATGCTACTACGACCAAGTAGTATAGCGACTTTGAAGCATCGCATATCAAAGTCCGAAAAAGTCGCGATCACTGTGCTTCGGCCACTCTCTTTCTCTTCTTTTCTTCCCCCTTTTCCTTCTGAGATTGGTCACGTTAAAAAAAAAAATAAACCATAATGCTTCCTACCCATCGCTCCTAAATGTATAAGTGAGAAAGTGGCGATAAAAAAAGAAATAGAGAAACAGAGAACATGAGTAAGTAGACCGATTTAGGCTTAGGCTTATTCAGATAGTGAAAAAGTCTTATAGAAGCTTTAATATTATTTTCCGCGGCTACAAAAACGAGGCTATCTTTCGGTAGTTAGTCACAAAATCATTCAACTTTCCCTTCTTTATGTCTCTTGCCTCTAAACGGAAGACATGTTACGTATTACATCGCCATTTCTATATCGCAATTGTGCACAAAGATAGGCAAGTATATACCAGATCTTCAACTGACCAAGAGTGCGTATGCTTTGGGAAGTGTTTCGTGGCCGTTACCCCCGAGTAATAAATTTACCAAAACCTCCGCTCCTTAGTTGAAGAATCGTTTAGCTTTTTGTGTTTTTAATTTTTGATAAGAAGCTTTGCAATCATTATTATCACGACAGCAAAGAACTGAAGATAGTTAGTCAGTTTAAAATTTATTTAGAGGCTTACATTTATCCTATACACCTGTCTAGAGTATTTGCGAAGAAAATGCACTAGATACGAAAACTATGGTACACTTTGAACTTAAGCAGAAATTTTGCTCTTAAAAGAATATTGCGTGAATCCAAACTCAAATCGTCGACACGAAGGGCAAAATGCTTAGATGGAATTACGAACGGAACTCGCCAGATGATCTGCTTTATAACTTGTATCGAATTCGTAAAAATTTCATAGAAAAGCAGAAACGTTGCTTCATCTCAGCCTTACTGTACTACTGCCTATACTTGGGCGCCTATTTCTTTCTCTTCTTTTAAAATTTTTCTTCATTTTTAATCATTTAATGCACTGCTGTCCATACTTGGGCGCCTATTTCTTTCTCTTCTTCTAAAATTTTTCTTCATTAATGGATTTTTTTGGCGCATTATTTTTACAAAAAATTTATTCATTATTAACTTTACGAAAGTTTATTTCGTAACAACTTTGCAACGAGCATATCTTACGACTTTCAAATAACTTGATTACTGTTTTTGTTCAGCACTCTTCATTTTACTTGAGGCGTATTGTAAAGTGCTACAACCGTATTTTTAAAAATATTGCAATGCCATGCTTCGGTAGTGCAATAAATAAATTAAGCATCGACTCGCAGATATTTTTACCGCAACATTTTTAAATATGCGCACTCAAGTACTTCAAAGTAGCTACATGTTTCCATTCATTATGCACAGCATTATATAGAAAGTATTGAGCCTATTAATGTAAATGAAAGACTATGAATTTAAAATTTTTCAAAATTCTATCTCTTTCCTGCACGTTTGGTTAAGTTGATATTCTATACAAAGTTGACCAAGTCTGTATGTTCCTTAATTTCTCATATATTAAAGGTTTAATTACTCCTAGATCATGTTTGAATACTTAGCCAAGTCACCTGTAGATAGTCTAACAATAGATGAAGATAAGCTAAATAGGCGTTAACACCTTTGAATATATATTGCGGATAATAACTTAGAGTAAACAAACATCGATCGCGCAGTTTTATATAAGTGCCGATGGTCTTGTACAAAAATGGTTCTGGTCGTCCTAGTGATATTGACTGCCTTTCTTCGCTTCTTCTAGAAATCAGCAAAACAACAGCAGATGATTCACGGGATGGCTAGCAAGGGCTCAGTTCTTTGTCCGAACCTTTCTATCTGATGAAAATTTATTTAAGGTGATGTAGAAGCAAGGTTTGCCTCAAGGTGAACAAAATATTATTACTGGAGAAATTTCTTTTTCTTTCTCTTTCTCTTCTTCTTTTATGTTTTCTTTTTTGAAAATTCCAATACATACGTTTTCTGTCATTATTAATTTACTTTGCTTTTAAGGCTGATATTGTTATTGTCATTGTTGTTATTGTAATTGTTGTTGTTATTTAAAATGAATTGTTTGATCAATACCCTTCAAATTATACGCCTGAGTGTTCTACTTTTTAAAGCAGACACGTACACACGTGCATATAAACACACACACACACACACACATTCCCATATATACGAGCACCCATAATTACTTGTTTATACACTCATTCAAAATATTAAAGAAAATATATACACACATTTACATATAGCATGCATTCAACAACGGTTACAAGGACATTCCTTTATAATAGCTTCTCTCTTATATGGATGTTAATGTCACAACAAACGGAGGAAAATAAACTATCTTCATCCTCTATTAACATATTTACGTTTTACTTGTCTGCTGTTCTATACGTTTATCATATATATGTACAAACATATTTATATACATAGATACATATATACATATATATATATATATATGTTTATAAGTACATATTTTTAGAATACATTCTTTAGCGAATTTTTCCATGTAAGTCATATGTCTTTTGTCGATTGTAATTTTGCCAAGTTTTTGCATCAATTTTTTTTCGCTTTCCTTGCATATGCAAAATTTATTTTAAATGTAATTAATTTTCCAAGAAATTTTTATTTTAATTAAAAAATAGTAACTTAAACTACGTGTGCGTTTAGTGATTAAGTGCAGATTATGCAAAATCAATTAACATCGTTTAGCTTTAGAGTAACCTACGCAAGTGTTGATATATTGTGCCTAACAAAACTGTTGCCGATTATTTGCAATTTGCAAGGAGCGATTAAACGATTTTCCTCGCATAGCTTTGCTAAATGATAAGACGGATTGTGTAAATATGACTTTCATTTGTTTCATTATATGTTCGATTGAAAAACTGCAGAGTATGAATAATATCTTACGTCATATATACAGATTCTAGATTTGTGAACAATCATAGGACACAAGATTAAGTGAGGGGTTAAAAATTTTGCCACAAGACGACGGCAGCATTTTCCTGCGCATGTTTAAAATGCCACTAACTGTTCTCGCTCTTTACGTAACACAATTCCAATCAAAGACCTTACAAGCCATCATTTTTCTACAAATATGTTATATTAGATCTCTCTCTCTCGCTCTTATTATCAAATGCTATTCGGTATCGACCAAATCTCAGACTTGATCATAACTAACTCTTTGCGGCGAGGTACATTTCGGACTACTTGTTTTAAGAAGTTTTGCTTACAGCACGCGCTTTTACGTTCCTTTAATACATTCTTGCCTGATTCGATGCAAAAAATTGAAAGTTTTTTTCCTTCTATGTTCAAAGCAGAATTTAACGTTAGAGATCTCCATATATATTTTTATAAAATATCGGCACGAAAGTCAGTTTTTGTTTCAGAAACAATCGCTATATGCACAAGATATTTCCGAGCAGAAAATACCGCATGTTTCACTACCGCATTATTATTAAGTCGATGCGTGAACAACTTGTGTTTGTATTCTAAGTTGTCGACTTTCCTTAATTTCATTGTGGCAAACAATCGATTATGTTGCATCTTTTGTTGATTGAGTTGGATATTGCTCCCATATTGCCTTTAAGGGATTATCGTGAAAACCTTAAAAGTCGATTCATTCTTTACGGTCATAAGCACACTTGGCGAACCAATAACTTACTGTCCGATCGTTTAGTAGCCCTGCACCGTATAGACTGCTTATTTTTTGGACTGTCGCCTTAGCACTATTGCTCTATTAAAATTCTATCACGAATATGCGCGTTTTCACTCTACACAAAATAATTGTCGGAAAACGAAGTGAATTCTTATCCATGTCATGAAAGCTGAAACTCGCTTGTCCTAATGACTTATGGTA